ATATATCCATTACATCCGTCTGGTCTAATGTGTCATTTAAGGCTGGTCTTCCTTACTGATTTTCTGCCTGGATGCTATATCCATTGATGTAAGTGGGTTGTTAAAGTACCCCGCTATTATTGTATTGCTCCCTTGGGTCTGTTAATATCTGCTTTATATATTTTGGCCCTCCTATTTTGGGTGCATAAATATTTACAAATGTTATATTCTCTTGTTGGATTAACCCTTTTATTGTTATGTAATACCCTTCTTTGTCTTTAGTTAAAGTTTTTATTTTTAAGTCTATATTTTCTGATATAAGTACAGCTATACCCACTTTCTTTTCATTTCCAGTTGCATGGAAAATCTTTTTTCATACCTTCTCTTTCAGTCACTGTATGTTCTTATACTGGAAATATACTCTCATATGAAACATATCCTATCTTAAAATCTCATAACTTTCAAGGCAGATATTCAGTATATAGAACTTAAAAAGGCCTTAGAGACCATATCCTTTGGATAAGCAATGGAGAAGAGATGATGAACTGGAAAAAGAAACAATAATACATATAAGAGGTGATCAAGAAGTCTGTGGGAAACCTCTGGAGACAATGTCAATGTCCAGGACAGAAGACAAGAACCCCAAAATAATTTTAGTATGTACTTTTCACAAAATGGATTTCTTATTTTGCCACAAAATTATTTAAAAACACATAGGGGCAATAACACGGTATTTCGTTGGTGTCTACTGTTGAATAGTTGATTCTAATTTTGTTTAGACGGAGAGGCTTGAATCTGTTCTCTATATTGCAACCAGTTATGTTTCTTTTGCAGTAACAATACACCTGCACTGAAATCATTTCAACTAACCATATAGTTGGAAAGCTTATGTAATACCTTCAGTTGGCTGCAACAAGTGAATAAATTATTTAAAAATATGGGGAAAAGGTATTCCATTTAAGCTTCCCTTTCTGTATGGCCAGCCTGCATACTGGACTTTTTGTGTACAGTCTTGTAAAAACTTTTCACGACAAAATTTTTATTTGTAGTAGGATTAATTCATTAGTACATTCAAGGAAAAAAAATCCTTCATCATTTGGGACTGTCCCACACCTTGTAGGACATCCAACAGGTCTCTCCCATTAAGTGGCTGTAGCAACCGCAAACTGTCCCAAAACCCCACAGGGAACAGTACGATCCCCAGGAAGAACTGCAGTCGTAGGTGAAGCACAAAACAAATGGAGTGCTCATCAAACTGTCAGTCTCGAAGGCATTTCTGAGCAGAAGTGCTCTTTGCTTACTTCAGGGTTAAAGGCCTAAAGGCTGACCTGCGGGTTAATTGCTGGGTGAACAGGATAGCAAGAGAAGTCCCTTTTGATGCAAGTGGGGTGGCAGCTTGCTGGCCCAGACCACTTACCACTGTGGACTTGAGGAATTTTCTTTGCTACCTTTACCCTTTAAATCTTTTTTTTAATTTGGTCAAACTGCCATAGAGTGAAGGATTCCCCCAGGGTTTACTGTCACATTCTTCCTTTTGGAAAAGAAAACATGTGTCCTTGTTTGAAGAATTTGTCTTGAAGCATCTGCTAAGCCATAGGCCCCGGCACTTCTCCTGCCCTTCAGAAGAGTCAGATGCATCTGCGAGGGCAGGCAGCGCCTGGTTGTGCTGGTGCTCCCTTCTGGGCACAGCCACATGCATACATGCCCTCAGTGTCCATTCCTGCTTTCCTCCAGCTTCGGGAAGACTCCATTGTCTGGACAAGTGACGGCGGTAGAGAGGGATTCCTATGGGGTGGAGAGAGAAAAGAAAGAAGGAAGAGCGGAAGGATCCAAGCAGAATGAGAGGAGAGAGAGAGAGTGGAATCAAGAGTCGGTGAGAGCAAGAGAGTGAGAAAGATCGAACTGAGATCTCTTCTATATGGGGGGTCCTTGTGGCTTCTTTTCTACCAACCAGCAGATTTCTCCATAGACTCTTCCTGCATCTCCCGGTGTTGGCCAAGATTCAGAACATGTAGAAGCTCAGATTTGCTAATAACACTTTAAGACTGGATAATGACATCCAGATTGTTTTTTTTACATCTTGGGGATTTGGAGTATCTCTGAGAGTTGCAAAGCCAGCCTTGTTGCAAGAATATTTCTGAAGGCCCTCGCTGTCTGATCACTGGCTCTGGGCTGTGGGCACAGTGGTGCAGCCGTCCAGGGTGGCAGAGACCACCTGGGATATGGAAATTACCAGCAGCCCAGTTTTGTATTTGCTGGAGCACCTGAAGCGTTCTGGGAATTTGGATTTCTGTTGTTTCTCACAAACGTCTCCTTAGAGGCGACAGGCAGCCAACATGGACCGCGTTTTGCCAGAAAAGCCCAAAAGGATGATGGCTGCTGTTGTCAATTATTGGCATTTCAACAGGACAGTATTTTTATTTCAGAGTATATTTACATAGCTAGGAGGCAACTGTTGACAAGGATGAAATGATAAGCTGTATTGGTTTCATCCAGGACTAGAAAAACCGGCTTGTTCTGAGAACGGCCTGCAGCCCAAGAGTCAGTGTTAAGAAAATTCTTTCTCCACAGGAAATATCTGCACTTAACACATTAACACTTAAAATAAGGCTTGGAATCCCTATTAAGTAACATAGCGCACGCACACAGTAGGTCCTAAATGAAAGACTGCCAAAGGAAGGAATCCATGTGTGCACTCACATGGAGGAAGAGCAAGGTGGCTGGGTGTCACCTTGAAACTGCTTGCTCCTCATGTCTTTGGTTCCCCTGAACCAGAACGGGATTATTGGTGAGTGAGGCCAGCATCCCCAGTGGTGACAAAAAAGGAAATTGGTAGAAAAGGCATCATCCAAGTTGGATTAACTCAGCTCTGTGGCCTGGGAGGTTCCCAGGACATCCAGCCAGATGCAGGGCCTCCGGAGATGTGAGGCTCGGATGTGTGTGATGACAGAGAGGGAAGTGAGAGGTAGGGCCAGAGGAGCTCGGAGGTGCCTCTGACCTCCAACCCATGGGTGCACCACTATTCCCACTATCCATCACCTGCAGGCTAACCCCAGGGCCACTAGACAGTTGCCCATTTTTCTAATGGACACATTCTTTCTCTATCAACAGTTCACATGGAACATAGGTAAAGGAGTCCAGCAACTTCTTTCTTATTTCACTGCCTGTCTATTGCTTACTCGTTCTGTAGTTTATTTGCTTTGGATCCAAGGGTCCCTGGGTACCAAAAGCTACATTAGTCTACTCAACTGCATGTAAGCCAAGATCCTGACCATCCTGGTTTTGTTGTTATTGTTGTATTTCTTTTAAAGCTTAGCCATTTTCCATTCTGGGCCATTACAACTCTGTTTACTGTGAATTCCACGGTGGAGGTATCTTCCCCATCCCCAACCTACGGGCTGCGCTGTGAGCAGTGACTTGTCACCACATTACCAGTATAGAGTCAGGGATTCATAGCGTTGGGGGCCTTAATTTGAAGGTACCAGTGAGGAACAGGAGGGGAGGGGATGAGAAGAAATCTCTTTATGAGAGCCGGTGGGCTCAATAGAGGTTGAGACTGAAAGAAGTGTTGCTAAATACATAATGCATCATCTGGAGAAAAATACAGCATCATCTGCATCTTGTAACATGGTATGATTAAGCAGGTTGGAGCTTATTTCTGGAGTATTTACTTGATAGGAAATCCATCCTTATGGTCCCAAGACAAGACTGATCCATCCTGTCCTCCTCTTACTCTGAATACTTCCCACCTCTTTCTCACTCACCTTCCTCTGGTCCTGGGCTGAGTTCACAACTCAAATAGTCACATTCTTTCAGTTATAAGGGACAGAAACCCACTCACACTATCTTAAGCAAGAAGGGAATTTGGGGATTCATGTGTTAGAAAGGATACTATGGAAGTTCCAAGGTCAAAGGAAAACAATGTAAAGGTAGGACCTCGTGACTGGAGCCAAGATTTCCCCCTGCCCTGGCACCCCACTGCCATGTACCTTCCACCTCTGCTCCCTGTTGCTCAGCTCAGTTCGGCAGGTGGAAGCTCCCCACGGTCAGGGAAAGGGCCACTACTTGAAAGGGGTATTCTTACCCCTCAAGCTCAGCAACCTAGAGGGAAGAATTTCTGTCTCACAACTTCCATATACAATCCCAGAAAAAGCTCTGATTGTCTAACTCAGGGCTAATACCGTCCCAAAGAATAGAGTGACCTGATTGTCTAATTTCTGTCCTGTGGCCCAGGAAGTAGGGTCTATCACCAGAACAAAGGCAAGAGCGGGGGCGGGGAGGGGGTTGGGGAAAGAAACCCAAAACCAAACAGCCTGGCAGTGAAAAACAGCAGTTCCCAGGGTCTTCTACACCTCCCCACCCTCATCATAAACCTTTGAGCTGAGGACGAAAAGGCCCTAAGCCTGACCTGAAACGTAACAGCAAATTAGATCCTACCTGGAAAAATGAGCTGTCAATCACTGCACAAATCATTCCTGCTCTCTGTGCATCTTACCAGAGTGGCACATGTCTTCTGAGAGTCTCCGTAACAATGACCAGACGTGGTGTGGAGTCAGCACGTGGGGTTTCATTCCCAGCTCTGCTTTGTCCTGGGGAGTTCTCTTAGCAGGTTGATGCATTTTTCTGCCCTTCGGTTTCTTCCTGAGGAAAGGAATAATAACGCCTCTCTCACAGGGTTGTTGTGGGCGTTAATGGGAGAGTTTGTGTTGGGGTCAGACCTGACAGAGAGTGGGGGGCTAGTGTTTGCCCCAAGGCAAGCAGTGCCTTTCCTGGGAATCTTGATGTCAAAGCCTGGAAATTGGCTCACGTACAGGAAGCCGGATGGGTTTCTCAGTGCTCTCAGACATGTATGTTGATTAGGAATTTTGTAGAGTTGCTTAGATCAAATGGGTCCCAAAATTCCCCATTGCTGTGGGTGGGGGGAAGGCGCCGGCCGGGTGTCCTATCCCACGCACACTGCCCGTCTCCTAGACTTCATCGTCTTTGAGTTTCTCTGTCTCACTTTCTCTCTGCACATTCAGGAGTGTACACATTTCTGTCCAGCACCCTGAAGTCTCTGGAAGAGAAGGACCATATCCACCGTGTCCTGGACAAGATCACAGACACCTTGATCCATCTGATGGCCAAAGCAGGCCTCACACTCCAGCAGCAGCACCGGCGTCTGGCCCAGCTCCTCCTCATCCTCTCCCACATCAGGCACATGAGGTGAGGCACCCTTGGGTTCCCCACAGGAGCCCCATAAGGAACACCAGCCCCCACGCATGTACCGCTGGGCTGGAAAGTGCTGGTGCCTGAATGCAGATAGCCCACTTGGCGCAGTTCCTGGCACGTGAGAGGGCAAGGGAGGTGAGACGGAAATCTGTCTAGGGCACGGGGCAGGCCTTCGAGAGCTTTCCTAGAGGGCATGACATTTGCACTCAGTTGGAAGCCCACACAAGGTCTCATGGGGGGAGGGGTGCGCAGGATGCGGGTTGAGGGAGGAAGGCAATGTTTGGTGGTTCACTCTGTCCTACCAGGCAAGGACAGTCTATGAGCACACCTATCCTCTGAAGGCCCTAGGTGCATCCCTTATGGTTCCTGCACCACATTCCCCCTAGTACACTTAGAAATTCTGAGAGAACCTCTGTGCCTATGCCTCATGCCTCACGGAGAGTCAACACTGATTCCTCCATTCCTCTCAGATCCCTCCTTGCCACCCCTCATTGCTGCTACCCGCATTCAAGCCATCATTCCTTCTGGATTTCTGCAGTGGCCCCCTCACGCACCTCCTTGCCTTCAGTCTTGACCCTTCCTAACCCATTCTCCACACCAGAGCCAGAGCGGCCATCTCATACCACATCTCCTCACGTCATGCCTTTATTTAAAACCCTGAAAAACGTCTCATTGCTTTAGTCCCTTTATTTTGCTTATATAACTTCTGTGCTCTAGCCCTTACTTAACTTTCTCGGGCTTCCTGAGAGTCTGAGCTCTGGCCATAAACAACTGTTCTCCTAGTCATGGGGGAGCTGCAGATTGGCTGGCAGCTCTGTCCATCCCCACTGGGTTCACTCCCACATCTGTGGGACAGCTGATGGAGGCTGGGCACAGCTGGGAGACTCCAGGTTGGCCAGGTGACTCTGCTTCCATGTGTCTTTTAGTCTCTTTGTACCTGCAGGTTAGCTGGGACATATTCTTCTCATCGTGATGGCAGAGGTACAAGAAAGCAAGCCTGTAAGGGCAAGTGCATTGTCATGTTTTAGCTGAGTCACATCGACTAATGTTCCACTGGCCAACAAATCACATAATGAGGCTTAAAGTCAGGATCAGGGGCATGTGGCACGGGGAATGGATTTTTGTGAACAGTAAGCTAATCCATCATGGCTTATTCTTTTCAGAAAGGGTCTCCTGACCCTTCACCCGGTTGGGATTTGCACCCTATCCTTCCTGATTGCTGCTGCCCATTTTATTTTTCTCTCTGCCCCAATTAGACCTTAAACTCTGTGAGGCAGTTACCACAACCCACCTTGGATACTCTGGGTACCCAATACCACCTAGCATAGGGCTTAGCACAGGAACCACTCAATAAATATTTTGTATAGGAGTTAAGGAAGGATATTAGCAAAGGAAGTGGAGCCTTTCTGTGCCAAAAGGAGAAAGTGGTCTCATTTCCATTTCAAATAGTCATGTAAAGTGGCTGGCCAGAGGCTTAGTGGATACTATTCCCATGAACAGAGCTCAGCCTGCGGGGGAGAGATAAAGAAAGTAGAGGAAAAAAAAAGAGAGAGAGAGAGAGAGAAAGAAAAAATTCTTTACTCCAGAAAGGCCATAAAAATGAGGTGAAGTGATGATACTAGGGATCAGGTACCCATGTGTGATGAAGTCTATATGACCTTGGGCTTACACCCGGACCGTAGGAATGAAAGCGAAATTTCTTTTCTTAGTGGCTGTGAGGGAAGGGCCAAGGTGTCTGGAGGGTTGGCTCAGTTTTTAAGGGGCTTTCAAACCTTGAGATTATGCATCAAGTGGCAAGAAGCTTGTCCCATCAGAGTCCCAAGAATCACGCTCTCTGGAGAGGATCTTGAAAATGGATAGCTTCTTGAGAAAATAAATGTATCTTTCTTTCTTTGTCTTCCCCCACAGTCCCATATATGGTGTCATATATATTGTGTAGGCTCACAACATTATTGCTGAGTGAATGAATATGTGAGTAAATGGATGAATGAGAATTACTTGAATATTTTCCCTACCCTATGAATTCAAAATTCCCATTTGATGACTTCCACTTGGCAAAGTTTGAGAGAGAGTGATTGTAGTCTCTGTTCTCAGGGATTCCCTACGTATCTGGTGTCATAAACGGAGGACTCACCTTGGCCAGGTAGAGTGGGGGACTGCATTCAGAGTACACATTTCCAGTCCTTTCCCATCTGTTTATATTTATGAATATTACAAAGAGGGAAGCAGGGAATGTGTCAGAATAACAATCCTCTAACCAGATTTCCTGGCTGAGAGAGTAAACTTCCCCTTGAAGAAATGTATTAGCTTTTACTCTGGGCTAGGAATTTCAAAGATGTTGTAGAAACCATGTTGCAGATGAAGGTTTTTATTTGTTGGTAGGAATTGCTGAATTTTCAAATCTGTCAACTGCTTTTCAGCAGTGGCAAGCCTAATTAGTTAATACCCCGACATATCTGCACTAAATTTACAGGCGTCTGGTAGTTTTATTGGCAACGTATGGTGGAGGGCAGCCGCAGTGAGAGAGCTCTCTAGAGTTTGTTGGAATTGTGTGAAAGGCTGGAGAGAAGCTGCTTTTCTATTGAAAGCTGTGAGCATTTTCTCTCTCACTGGGGCACACGTGCGCGCGCGTGCGCGCACACACACACACTAATGTTTTGGTGCCTTATTACAGCCAGTCTAAATCACAGAACTCTGTTTTATTAAGCTTGGCCCCAGCCATATGTTGTTACTCAGAGAACTTAACACCAGATTTCATGTGACTATAAATGTGATTCATTAGGTTGCACGAGCAAGACAGTGTGAGGTCCAGCCGGCATTTAACATTAACAGCATTTTAAATGAAAAACAAACAAACAAACAAAAACCCCCACTTAGATATGTAATTAGGTTGTGGTGTTGTAAGACCTGAATAGTCTGATGCCGTGTTTTCATGGCATGTCTCCAACTTGTGCAGACTCTTCCCCTACTAAAAATTGCGAGTATTTTCCAGGACACTCTCTTGGTCCTATCTCCTCAGGATACATCATTCTTTCTAAAAAAACCTCAAGATCGCTAAGAGGTGTTCTATATTTTTTCCATTGGTGGTGTGGTGGGGAAAGAGCAGAGTTGTGGCTGGGGGAAGACAGGGGAGGACAGAGGTTAAAAGAAGAAATGCCATTTGCCTACCTTTCCCTGTGTCCATTTGCCCCATGTTGTCTGAGCATCTAGCACATTCTTGGCACTGCTGTAGGCTGCTGCAGGATGGGCACATCGCTGCCCCTCAGGGAGCTTGCCCCGTGTGTGCTGGTGTGTGCGAATGTGGCAAGAATAAGCCTGCGTGTGTCCAGAGAGGAATTTCAGGTTGTCTTAGCGCTGGGAGGAAAACGGAGCAAGCGCAAGAGGACAGCGAAGGCCGTAGTGCCTTGAGGTCACTGACTGTGGCAGCAAAAGGCCTTTCAGAGGAGGTGGCACCTGAAGGTTTGGGGAAAGAGCTCCCAGGCAGAGGGGGCAGCAAGTGCAAACAACCTGCGTCTGGAAGTAAAGTGCTCAGTTTCTTCAAGCTCTCTCTGAAAAAGCTCAGTCTTGTTTTTCTTTCTAGCACAAAAACCAGCGTGGTGAAAGAGCATGAGCTAGGGGAGAAAGGCAGGGGGCGCTCTGAGAGGTCGGCAGAAGCCACATCACTTGGACCTTGTGGAGCCTGGAAAGAAATTTAGATTTTATTCTGATTAAATGGCAAACACCTGGGAAGTCTGAAGCAAGTCAACGTCTTGGCCTGTTTTCCGCATTTTAAAAAACTCCCTCCTACACGGCTGTCTCGTCTCTGTTCTCTTTTTAGATGTAATGCTAATAGAGGGGAAGAGAACCTCATCTGAGTCAGGGGAAGGAAGTCACCTGGATAGCAAACCCTGAAATGGCTCTTTAAACAGGGAGAAAAACTGACAGGCAGGTGTCTTTGGAGTTTCCCTTGCTTCCCCTCCTTAGGCGTCGCAGCAGCCCCGGAGCTTGGGATGCTCTAAAGTGGTCCTCTTTGTGTCTTCCCACCCGCAGTAACAAAGGCATGGAGCATCTGTACAGCATGAAGTGCAAGAACGTGGTGCCTCTCTACGACCTGCTGCTGGAGATGTTGGATGCCCACCGCCTGCATGCCCCAGCCAGCCGTGGGGGTGCGCCTGTGGAGGAGATGAACCAGAGCCAGCTGGCCACCACGGGCTCAACTTCATCACATTCCTTGCAAGCATATTACATCACCGAGGAGTCAGGGAGTTTCCCCACCACGGTCTGAGAGCTCCCAGGCTACCCCAAGGTCCTGAGAATCCCTGCGGCATTTTACCCACGTCATGCATCACGATAGCAGAGTTCCGCTCCTGCGCACACTCCAGCATGCATCCACCACCGTGGCTTTCTAATACGAGTGGCCATTTGCTTGCTCAGTTCTTAGTGGCACTCCTTCTTTTGGGAACAGCCAAAGGGATTCCAGGGCTAAATTCTTTGACTCTCTCTCTCTCTCTCCCTTTGCTACATTACTAAGCGTGAGGATTCTGTAGCTTTTCATGACTGAACTCAGTCTACGAGCTGGGACTCAGGTGACTGTGCATTTAAGCTACTTGTTGAGACCCAGACCTGCAGAGTGGACATTTCATCTCTGTGAAGTGCTTTTTAATGGATCTAAGAAAAAGCCCCAGGAAAGACTTGAAAGTGGCTCCTTTAATTGCTGACTGGGAGAAAGCTAGGTCTAGGGTTCATTATGGCATCGTCTTGTATTCCTATAGTAACATATCATTTTATTAAAGTAATACCTTGAAGCTTTTGCTCTGTTGCATGGCTGGAGCTGAATATTCAGTGATTGTCCATTCATTTGCCCTATAGGAATACAAGATGCCCACAGAGAAGGAGGGTCCCCTAATTGTCAAAACGTTGTCAAGTTAATACACTGACCTTCAGATTTGCTGAATGTTCTTCCACTGGTTTTTGAGAACACTGTACAGGTCATGGGTTCCAGTTAATTCTTGCTTCCCATGGACCTATGGAAAACAGCAGGTTGATCCCAGTTAAGTCACCTCCACATAGACCAGTTTCCTTTTAAGGGATAAATTATTGGGGTTTTGTTTTTAGCCTTCTCCCCCCAGGACTTGCTGAGTATCAGCTTCAGGACCTAGTCTTGTGTGGTCTCACACCTACCAGCAGAGGGCGCTCTGCTAGGCTCTTCCTGGTGTGTAACTTACACAGAGGGTGAATTCATCACACGGAGCAGTGCCCAGCCTATGACCAAGGACAGTTTAAATCAACAGGCACCCTGGTGACACTTTTAGCCCTGGGGCACTTGGGTCAATAGTAAATGTGCATGATTATTGTAAATACTGGAGAACAGGAGGAAAGTAGGGTAGAACCCGGATAAAACTGAGAGGCTCATGGTGAGCCTGCCACAGGCAATAGCTCTGTCCAGGAGTGCCCCTGGCAGGCCCTGTGTGTACTGTGGGGCTGCCCTGGGACCCGTGGACACCCCTTCTCTTCTCGCCACCCTGACTGGAAGGAGCAGCAGTAGACAGCTGTGTTCCTCCAGTTGGCCCAGCACACTGTCGGGTGGGGCTGGAGGGCGATGCTTAGAGGCTCCCTACTCAGGCTGCCGGGGACCGGGTCAGACTCCACGTGCTCTTGGTTGTTTAGAGCTCATCCAAAAACCAGGGTTTGGCCTTGGGGAAAAAAAGTACCCCAAAGCTCATTTCATTAAACTTCATAAGCCACGAGAGCGAGACTAGAATTGGGCCATAGGAATCCTTTGCCCTATAGGCTAAACAAGAAGGGCTCAGTCCAGCCGCAGGGCAGCCTTTCCTAGGCCTTTGATTCTCCAGAGCAACTAGGGTTTATCTCTTCTTCTCAGCCAAAAAGTAAGTTTGGTTTCCTCCGGCGACCTCACTGTGTATGATTCAAACCCCGTTGAGAGGTGATGTGTTACCAACAACCCAGCCGATCTTCTAGGGCTTCTCTTGGGATGCCTGTTTCAAAAAGTGGATTTCATTCATTTTTGATTACTTAGTAAGCGAGCACCAAAGGACTAGGAACCTGGGAGGGCCAAAAAATAAAAAAATAGAAAAGTTTTTTCATATATGTGCATCTGAATTTAGGGGCAGTTTTGTGTATCTGCAGTAAGGATATGTTTAGAACATAATTCTTTTGTTGTTTTGTTTAAGAAGCACCTTATATAGCATAATATATATTTTTTTTGAAATTACAATGCTTGTTTATCAGACAATTGAATGTAGTAATTCCGTCCTGGATTTCATTTGACTGGGTTAAACGTGCAAAACCAACGAAAAATATTTAGTTTTTTTGTATAGCTACCTTGTCATGTATGCAGTCATTGATGCGTAGGGCCTGGTGATTATTCATTTAAATGAAGATCACATTTCATATCAACTTTTATATCCACAGTAGACAAAATAGCACTAATCCAGATGCCTATTGTTGGATATCGAATGATAGACAATCTTATGTAGCAGAGATTATGCCTGCAAAGGAAAATTATTCAGGGCAGCTAATTTTGCTTTACCAAAATATCAGTAGTAATATTTTTGGACAGTACCTAATGGGTCAGTGGGTTCTTTTTAATGTTTATACTTAGATTTTCTTTTAAAAAAATAAAAACAGACAAAAAATTTCTAGTACTATAGATGATGTAATAGCAGCTAAATCCAAACAATAATAAAGTGGAGGGTTTTACATTGTTCATCTAATGTGTTTGTATTCATGTTAAAGATACTACTACCTTTGAAATGGGCAGAGAACACCAGATGGTTGGAATGTTAGCCCAGGGAAATTCAAATAATTTTAGAAATCTCTTTTTATTCTTATTTGAAGTGCCACTAACGGACAGCTGACACTTTGCAGCTGATACTGCTGTTGGGGGTAGGGAACATGTTGTATCTCCCCCTCCACCCGCCCTCCCCGAGGCAATTTAAGTTTTGAAAGATATAATCAACCTGGGGGTTAGGGTAGGGTGGCGAAGTAGGTTCAGGAATTTCAAGAGTGGGAAATACAGTAATAAGAGCCTTGCAAGTATTTTCAGGCAGATGGATACTGGCACCTGGGGTATGAACCAGGCTTCTGTATTCCTCTAGTGCCCTGTGAACTGCGAATGATGACCATTTCTAAAATGGCAGCCAGAGTTCTACGGAAGAGCAAGCATCGTCCGTGGTACCATCTAAGAAATAGCTAGCTAGTGGTCTGTGTTTCTTTTGGCCGCTGCCTGGCTCCGGGCTTGCCGTAAAGATTCTGGAATGCTGTCATGCAACCATCAGAGAGGCTAGTTCATCCAAAGAGAAGACCCTACAGAGGTTGCAAAATCCAGCCCCAAAGGAAGTGGAGTCGTTGGTTAGAGTTTCCTCTGAACCTTGCAAGGCCGTCTAACCATGCCATATCCCATGCCTTTTGGGGGCTGAACAAATAAGGGACTTCCTGATAATTTACTCTCGATCACATTAAAGTGTTCTCGCATTAAAACCTTAGACACTGAAATGGCCATTGAGTTAGGCTGTTGGTTTAGAGAACCCCTACATGAAACCAATTCCAAATCCTTTCCTCTTCATACTTTCCCACTCTGAGATGGACTGTGGATGCCGGGAATGATCACTAGGGCCGTAGTCATAGCTAATATTCACAGGCAAATCTGCTTTGAGAAACTAGTTATTTGGAAGGCAGATAGAGTCGTATAGTAGTTTCTGAGGCTATCCTGCTTCCCTTCGGTGCAAGTCTGGGGAGGATGATCCAGATTACACTGCACACTTCCTAGGTGAACTCCCTGAAAACTTACTCTCAACTGGAGCAAATGAATTAAACTGTGGTCCCAAATATTCATCTTCTCACTAGTGTGATTCCTCTGTTTCTAACTGCATCTCCTTTTCATTTGGGTTAAAGTGAGTGTGACCTCTTTCTATGTCATTTATAATTGTTTTCTCAGTAACCGCTGCCTTGATTATGGCACTTCAATTTTGCACTGTCTTTCAGAGGTTCAAGAAAAATTTCTATTCTTTTTTTTTTTTTTTGCATCCAAATGTGCCTGAACTTTTTAAATATGTAAATGCTGCCATGTTCCAAACCCATCTTCAGTGTGTTTGTACAGAGCTGTGTACCCTGGAAACAACATACAGCCCCATGAGCAGGTGCCTGAGATGTGGACCCCTTTGCATTCACAGAGAGGTCATTGGTCATAGAGACTTGAATTAATAAGTGACATTATGCCAGTTTATGTTCTCTCACAGCTTATATACAATGCTTTTTGTGCACAGCATATTCTTCAATGTAGAGCTCTTGTTTTATGGGAAAAGGCTTATATGCCAAATTGTGTCTGATGGTTTAATATGCCTTTTCGCTGATGCATACTATTATTGATGTGATTCTGTTTTGTTGCAGCTTCGCATTGTTTAATGAAACACACTTGTAAACCTCTTTTGCACCTTTAAAAAGTAAGGAGTCCAGTGGGATGCTCAAGCACCTGTAAACAATTTTCTCAATCTATTTGATGTTCAAATAAAAAATTAAACGAATGACAACAGGCTTGGTTTCTGTAAACTCCCTTCTTGCTAATGGCTCACCACTGACTGCCTCAAATCAAGGCGATGGAATGCAGTGAATCCCGAAGATCACTCTGATGCCAGGCTCCCTCCCCCCAGGCACAGGAGGAAGTGTGTGGACACTGGGAGTAGGCGAACCTGGCCTCACATCCTCGCTCCACCACATACAAGGTTTATGATCGTTGGCAATGAATTTTTCAGAGCCTCCACTTCCTCATCAACAAAATGGTGACAGTAACACCTAATTCACAGGGTGGTTAGGAGGATTATATGAGGTGCTCTTTAAAATAGTTTTCTAATGGCTAACCCTCTCCCATTCTCTGTGAGGGAGAAGAAGGAAGCTCGAGAGTAATTACTTATGAATGAAGGAGTGATAATTGGAATGAACAATCTGAAACTTGCATGATTTGCTCAAAAACCAATCCCCATCATGATGATAAAGCAGGAATTACCAGTACATTGCCTCCCCATCCCTCCTCATCCCTCCCCATCCCACCCTAGGTTTCCGTTGTAGGACCCTGCTCCCTTTTCAGAGCTACCTGCAGGCTCCCTTTCCCCCATTTTCTCTGTAATTTAATGGATGAGTTGGGGGAAAAAAATGGGAGTACTTGAGAGGCAACATAATAGGGCACACAGGCTCTACAGCCAGATTCTCAGTTTGAAGCCTCATTCTACCATTTCTCCTGTGACCTCGGCAAGGTAATTTTAACGCGCCTCAATTTCTTCACCTGTAAAGAGAGAAAATAACAGCGCCGCCCACCTTGAAGTGCTGCTGTGAAGACCACAGGGGTTAACACGGGAAGCGTTTAAGGACAGTGGCTGACACTGCTTGGTTCTCCCCGAGTCCGCTCCCACTGCGTGTCTGCATTCACTTCGTCGTTAGCGTGAGGTTAGGTTTTTCACACTGAGTCATTTTGATTCCAAGGGGCTCTTCTCTTTTCTTGTTCTATCATTCCTGGGCAAGTTCTTCAATCGCAATTTTCCTTGTTTCCTCATGCCTAAAGTGGAAATGAGAACATCCACCCTACAGGGCTATTATGAGGATTATAAGAGAAAACTATCTAAAATGCTGGTCTAGGATCTGCAGGTAGGAAGCTGTCGGGAGAGATTAGCTACCATTATTACACTCATCACTACCCTCTGTGAGCATTTACATTTAATGGAATCATTGATGGGTTTGGATTTACATTTGCCATTTTTTATTGTTTTTACATGTCTCCTGTCTTTTTCTTTCCTGTGTTCCTCCTTACCAGCCCCTCCTTTTTTATTTAAATAAATATCTTTAGGGTACCATTTTAATTTTTCTCTTAATTTTTCTTTTTTACTATTTTCTTGGTGATTGCTCTTACAGTGTGCATCTTAACCTATCATGGTCTTTCTCAGATTAATACTCACTTAAATCTGATAAAATAAATATCTTTGCTCTGAGAGCTCCAGTCTTTCCCCTCTCCTTTATGTTATTATTGTCATATATATTCTATTTATATGCATAAACCCAACAATAAAATGTTATACTTATTGGCTTATACATTTTGTATCTTTTGATTTTTAAAATAATTTCTTAATTAGTTCATTTTTTAAAGATTTTATTTATTTATTTGAGAGACAGAGAGAGCACCAGCAGGGGGAGGGGCAGAGGGAGCAGGAGAAGCAGACTCCCCACTGAGCAGAGCCCCATACGGGACTGGATCCCAAGACCTTGAGATCATGACATGAGCCAAAGGCAGACACTTAACCGACTGAGCCACCCAAGTGCTCCTAACTTTGTATCTTTTAAAGAAGACAAGAAGTGAGAAAACAATATACTTACAGACACTTTTTTCTATCAACCTACATATTTACCATTTTTGGTGTTCTTCATTTCTTCCTGTGGATCTGAGTTCCTGTCTGGTGTCATTTTCCTTCAGCTTGCAGTGTTTCTTGTAGGGCAAGTCTACTAGGAATGACTTCTCTTTGTTGATCCGGTTATGTGTTTATTTCACTTTCATTTCTGAAGGGCGATTGTTCTGAATCTAGAATTCTCAGTCGACAGTTTTGTTTGGTTTTGAGCACGTTGAAGGTATCATCCCAGACCTGGCTTCTCCTGCATCAATCCTTTTGATTCTCACCGGTATTGGATGAGTCATCTTCTCCTTGCTGCTTTCAAGATTTTTTTTTGTTGAGCAGCACGGCTCTGATGTGTGTAGATGTAAATCCCTACTTGGGATTCACTCAGCTTCCTAGATGTGTACTCTGATGGTTTTCATCAGGTTTGTGCAGTTTTCAACCATTATTTCCTCAAATAATTCTTCTCCCCTTCTCCTCTGTGACTTCCATTATATACACATATATACTCCACAGTCTGTTTGTCCCTTATTATCCTTCTCGGAATACCAAGGAATGGAGTTGTCTTCATGTGCCATGTGTTATTTCCAGGGCTCACCAGCTTTGGGGAGAATGTTTAGCAATCCGTGGAACTTTTAAATTTGTCCAGTGCAGCTGGTCAAAGCTGGAATGCTGACTGAAGGTAGATTCTACTCAACGAACTGGCTCCACATCACGTTCTCCAACATGACATATTCTTAAGCCTTTAGGGACATTTAAATTCAGAACTGCCATATTTAGATTTGCTTCTCCCAAAATACAGATTATATGTCTCAGGGAAGCAAATTTTTACAACTTTTATTATTTACACTATGGACTATGTGCATTAAAAAGCTAGTTTTATGTTCAACATTCATGGTTGCTTGAAATTGCAATATATATAGCTACCACCAAAAAGGTAGTGCTAAGTCCAGGTGAGAGATGTTCATTCCAGATAGAGATACGCTTTCTAATGGAACTGCCTGCAGACAATCTGGGACACCTGGTTGGAAGTACAGGTGAGATGAACTCCCTGCAACAGGAGTTTCCTCTGCGTGAATGAGATAACCTCTAAGCCAAAATGTTGAGGTTCTCTCAGCATAAGGAATTATCTTTGATTTTCCTTTCTACCCCGTTACAACACATCCACATTCATACACGGAGAAGTACCATTTACTGGGTGTTTCACAATGCCAAGTACTAGCTTTATACAAATTTTTCTAGGTAATTTTTACAGCTATGATATGAAGGTAGATCTATTACTGTCTTTCCTTGACCGGTGAGGAAACTAAGGATCAACACAGTTAAGCAAGGTTCCCAGGATCAGTAATCTCATGAATGGCAGACATCCGATCAGTTCTCTTGAGTGTAAACATGATTCCCACTTCATAAACTGGGGTTTGAGCTTCTTGGGAGTTAAAGCCACATAGTACATATGAAAAATTTTTAAAGATTTATTTATTTATTAGAAAGAGAGCACACACAGGTGTGCGTGTGAGCGGGGTCAAGGGCAGAGGGAGAGGGAGAGAGGGTCCCAGGCAGAATCCCCACTGAGTGTGGAGCCCAATGCTCCATCTCAAGACCCTGAGGTCATGACCTGAACCAAATTCAAGAGTTGGAGGCTCAACCTACTGAACCACCAGGCACCCCAATATATAAGAAATTTTAATCAAGACCAGAGAATGTGCTAATTTTGTATTTAAACAAGTTTGACATTTTATGAGCGGAGAAATTCATATGAACTTCTAAGGCAAAATGTGACTCTTTAAAGAAAATATGGCATTTTGGACAGGAAGCTTAATGCTATGTCCCTCAAGTTCCGAAAAAAAAAATGTGTCCCCCTCTTTCCGGTGGGTGGCCCTTGGACAGAAAAGCTTGAGAAGCACTTCTTTTGCTATCATCCCTGACACTTAGCGCCAGAGCTTTCTGGTTTCTGAGGTTGTACCAGGCACCCTTCCTGCCCCTGGTTTGTGCCAAGAGTGGTGGGTGAGCTGAGGAGTGATTTTCCTCTGTACCTTGGCACCGGGAGGAACTCTATTTCTAGCTGATGACCTGAGACCTTGAGGCCTGAGGCAGTGGCATCCCACCAGCAGTGGGGCCTTCAGAGGTGACAGTAGGCGAGGCTCACTCCCTTTCTTTGCCACAAGACCAGCACCGATCTCATGGCCCAGGAATAAGACCATGGCCCTCGGCCAAGGCACCCGGTGTCTGGGTAGAATGGACAAAATAGCGGCTTTCATCCCAAATAGATGAAAGTCAAGGAAAAAAAAAAACTGAATCAAGGAAGCATTTGGGCAACATTTTCAAAAGTGATTTTGAAACTGGGTGGGAAAACCTCACACCAGCTAGGAGCAGAGGAAAGGAGTCCAAAGTGGCCAGTTCTGGACCCTTTGCCAAGAGCCAGTTACTCAGAAGGCCACGAGATAGCACTCTGGGTGACTTTCCAAACTCGGTACACTGCTAGGCCTTTCTACAGCACTCGACTGTCATCAGATGTCTTTTCATCAAGAAATCAATAACTGTGAGAAAAGCCAACGAAAGGTTTGTGAGCTGATAAACATTTTTTATGGGCTGATTGAATTCTTGAGTTCACCCCAGGCTCAACAGAGTTTCAGCTGTAAAGATTCTTGAGTATGTCCACATTTACAACCAGAAAGCACATGTGGGAATACCGAGGACCCCCAAACACAGGCTGGAGGGGAGGAGGAAAGAATAAGAAGAGGGTGAAGTCACAGGAAGGGATCCTGTCAGGACCAGTGGGAGCTGCCTTGTGTGTCATCCTAGTGCCTCAAGGACACCAGGTGCAGTTGGCTTCCTGGGGTTCAACCACACCAGGTAAGCATGTCCTTCAAAATGAAGGGAAGGGCTGAAGGTGCCCAACTGGAACTGCAATCTGCTTCACTAAGAATGGATTACAAACCAGAGCAAGTGACCCATTCACTTATTTTTGAATGTATTATTAAATGTTTAAAAACTCCCCTTAACAGTCCTTACAATCGGGGATGCCTGGGTGGCTCAGTCGGTTCAGTGTCCAACTCCTGATCTCAGCTCAGGTCTTGGTCTCAGGGCCATGAGTTCAAGCCTCATGTTGGGCTCTGCGCTAGGCATGGAGCCTACTTAAA